AAATAAATAAATCACAATTTTTGTCAGTTTCACCTACAGTCTCTGGGCATATCTATGAGTTACACTCGTTGTCTTTTTGAATCTTCACAGTTCATTCTGTTTGTACGCGCTCTGGTGTTTGGGAGAATAATGCAGCGCAGAGAGTAGACGCCTCCGATCATGTCCGCGGAGGCTCGCGTCCCGGCGCCACTACAGAACTAAAGCAAATCTTTAGTCCCGTTTTGGTGTCAGTGACGTACAAACAGCTGTGGTTCAGAGATAATCACTGCTTTACACTTTCATCTTCCTCCAACTCAGACCAGCTTCAAAGCATCTCAATAATCTTCTGGCTGCAAAAACATTCTCTCAGCAGGTCGTTGCAAGATTTTCAGCTTGACAAGAATGTTTAAAGGGTTAAAAAGTGAAAGTTGACCGCGAAGACGAAACGCGGTGTTTCTGCATCCGTGTGTGTGTGTAAACAGTTCTTGTGTATATTTTACCCTGGTGGATGTAATCTCAGCCTTGAGAAGCTAAGCTCTCCACTCAATGGCGGTAATCTTCTTTGGGACTGTGGACTATTACAGCGAGCTTCTGTGGACGACACTGTGGAAGTACAGCTTACCGCCTGAACAGAGAGTCATGGTTGATACTCATTTACATCCACCCAGGCCATAATCTAACATTGTTATTACATTGTTATTACATATGTCATTATGATCACCCACCTCTTGACATGTGAATCATCTTTCTGGGTTTTAATAAGTGAGGCAAATAATTAAAACATCATATAGTAACTACAGTTCCTGACAGATCCCAGACCAAAGACCAAAATCTTTTTCGGACGACACGTCTGCAAGAATCTAACCCCGAACACCAAAAACACATTCTGGAATATTCATCTTCAAAATATTTGCAGCCTTTAGAGTGGACACGGTCTAGACCGGACTCTTTATTTTATTCAAAGTTCAAAGGTTTGAAGTCTGTTGCACCTTTAACCACACCCAGCAGTGATGTCACAGTGCACCGACACACCCTGCAGTACACTTCGACATCATACGAGCACCTAGACCGCTGGAGGTCTGCAGAAACAAGAGTTCCTTTAAGTATGTAGAGTTTAGTGACTAAAGCGTGAGAAGCATTCATCATGTTGATGCTACAAAGACAGGAGACAGAACTATTGGAGGGAGATCAGGGAAGAAGTGGGATGCAGCCCGGAGGAGGCTGTGATTACGGGACTTTTTTTTTTTGCCCCACTTTTCAAGTGTGGCGGTTGGAACGGGTACAAACATGTTTGCCTTCAGATGTGTCTGGATAACACATCACAGGAGCCTGCTGGACTCTTAGAAAAAGCACTGGAGGGGAATTCATATTACATCCCAGCGTGACTGTTTCTGTTTCATTCCCTTCCAGCATATGCTCTGGACAGTAACCGCACGAGCTCTGCACGCTGACAGGCCGGTTGTGACTTCAGGCTTTTGAGCCCGCCGGTAATGCCCCGGGCTCATTGTGGGCCGCGCTATCAGTCTGCTCTCTGCTAATTGAGCTGTTGAGATTTTGGCGCTTTAACTCCGACCGACCCTCGGGCTACTAAGTATGTACGAGGCATTCAGCAAACACGTGCATAAACACACTCACAGCTGCACGTGCTACACTCTGTGACGCCTCGGCAACCTGTCGGGGGGGACGAAGCTGACGCAGGAATGAGGGAATAACGCTGGCAGACTTGCTGTGGGACAGTGAGGGGAAGGAGGGAACATTAGTAGATTTATAGGATCCTCTCAAGCTGCTCCGTGACTAACCTGCATAAGATCCCTGCAACTAAGTGTGGATGTACGCAGCCGGCCGGCCTCCACTGCAGTCTAATCCACAGCAGGTCCCTTACACTGAGCTGAGACCAGTTTCTAGTAAAGACGCTGATGACCGTCAGAAACGTAGGAGAACAGGCAATTTAGGAAGGAACGTTACGAGCTTTGGGTTTTAATCTAATGAATTAAAAAGGCCAAATATATCATAACCGCTGTCCCACTTACAGTGTTATTACAATATATTACTTCTTTGTTGTTTTCATAGTGGTTGACCCTCTGAACCCCAAGCAGTTTTGGGGCATTTTTGTTGTGCTCCTGTCACTCTTTTTAACATATTGTAATATAAACGTCCTGCACCTCTATGGAAACAGCACAATCATGGCTAGAAGCAGAGAGAACTCAAACATGTCTCTTGTACACATTAACACAGTTATGATGCCGTAAATCATAAGAAAGAAAGGTGAATTTCTTATTAAATATATATCCATATTTATTTATATATCCAACATTTTTTAAAGCGCCCACAAGTGTTACCAATGTTGGGGAGAAACGGGAGGCTCTGCATATATATTGGGCTGTTCATATTACTACAACCCTTTACTTGCAGCCTCTCAGTTCAGATGAAGTTTTACTGAATTCAATCATGACTTCATAGTTGAGCTGAGAATTTAACGTATTTTACAGAATCTGGTTAAAGCAAACTGTTTATTTGGGACACAATTTTAAATCAGACATGTAGAACAAAATGTTTTTAATGAAATATCACAATTTTGAAGCTTCCATTTGGTTGCTTTTTCGTCCCACATGATGTGTTCAAGGACCTGGAATTGGCTTCTGTTTAGATAAACTATGCTTTAAATAAAAAGAAAACCCTCTCATATATAGCTACCTCACTGTTTGAGGATATGAGAAGAGAAGCGAGAGCAAACAAAGGCTGTGACAAGTGAAACGAGGCGAGAGGAAAAAAGAACATGTTTTTGGGGGCGGTACAGTCGGAGGCACAGAGCCCCCGGATTCAGCCGTGACGTCTGAAATGGTAAGCTGCTCATACATCACAAGACCACTGAACTTCCTTCAAGGACAGAGAGGAGACAGGCTGAGTAAGACCACAGTCTCAGGATACACGAGCCGTCCAATCCTCAGGGGGGAGTGGTTTGTCCCCAGAGAGGGAGAGGGGTCAGGAGGGGGCCACAGAACAATATCAGCTCGACTGAGCAAGAGAAAGAGCTTTTTACAACATCACCTCAGAGTCAAAACTTCTACTTGAGAACGATCAGAGGCAACAACGCAGAATCAAGTCCTCTAATAGAATAACAAAGCTCTTATCCGCCACATAATCTTATAATTTACACCCTCACTCACAGTAACCTCATGCTAACGAGTCGCGAGTTTAGCGACGATGTTTGCAGAGCAGCAGTGAAGACGAGGCGCAGTAATTGGAATCTGCTGAAGAATCAATAATCTCTGTTGAAAGTAATGGCTGCACACGCAGAGTCGCAATCAATCCGTCAACCTCACATTAAGTGCGATACCTCGGTATAACTACTGCGCAGGCCGGCCTCATAGCAACACTTATACATCTACATTTGATTTCAGCTTTCTATGCAATTACACGTGTTAATAAGTCATCGATGACGTTTGATTTCACATCACCTTTACATTTGATGAATTAATAAACTCTGGTAATAAGTTGCTAATCACTCGATTTTTGTTTTGCAGCTCCTCTCCAAAACTATTTCTTTATATTTTGTGCTTTCAGTCTTCAGCATTTCTTTGTCCAAACAACGTGACCCACGAGGCAAAGTAAAGTGCACTGTTCAGGTTTGGTTTCAGTGGTGATTCATTGATTTTAAACCGTTGCAGACAGCACCTTTAAAGGGTAACTCAATACTAAATCAAAGGCAACAAAAACTGCTGCTGCGCCGTTTTCCACCTGGCACCTTTGGCCGCACCCCAATCAGTGATGTCACAGCAGGTGTAACGTCTTTGACAAACAGTTGGAAAAACTTCACGACGCCTGAAGCTTTACTTCCCCCAAAGTGCTTTTTTGAAAGAAGTAACACACCCTGCAAGAGATGCTATAAAGTACGTTTCCCCTCAACATGCTCATTTCTCTCTCGAGGTCATTGCGTTTGCAGAAAAGACAGATGAAACGCGCAGCGCAGCGCAGCGCTGGCCACAGTGATAGTGCCATCCCTCTGAATTTGCAAGTGTGGATGACGGCCGGTGTTTGCGCGGCAAAAGGAGGACGTGTGAGTTTAAGTGATGAATGGGTCCGCAGCTCCTGGAAGAGCAGAATAAAGCAGAACCACTTAACTCCCGTCAGGGCCGTACTACAGACCCTACTGCTCGGGCAACCCACTTCTCTCTGAGTGATCTGTGTAGAGTCTGTGTGTTCCCTTCACGGGGACAGAAGAGGGTCCTCCAGAGACCCTCCAGAGATCCTGCTGCACATCATACAAACTGAATTAAGATGCGTTAACCCTCTGAACTAAAAGCAGTTTTGGGGCGTTCTTTGCTCCTTTCTCTAAACGTGCAGCACCTCTATGGAAACAGAACCATCATGAGTAGAAGCAGAGAGAACTAAAACATGTCTCTTGTGCTGTATGACACAGTTATGATGCCATAAATCATAAAAAAGTAAGAAATGCATGTTGAATTTATTTGATAATTTACTTTACAAAAATGTAAAAACAATATAATCTATATGTACATTGTTCCAAGTGACCACAAGTGTTACCAATGTTTAAAATAAGTACAATACTATATGTACTAAACTATTTACATGTTTACAACCTCTCCTCTCACCTCTCCTCTCTCCGTTGTGTTCACTTCCTGAAGTTCAGTCAAAGTTTCTCAGCAGAATCAAACATGGCTTCATAGTTGTTCTGATAAGTGCAGAATTTACAGGATTTTATTGGAGCAAATGAGACGTAGAATAAAATGTTTTTTTAGGAAATCTCACAACTTTAGGCTTCTTTTAAGCATTTCTTTCTGACAGAATCACACGATGTGTTGGGAGACCGTCGGAAAGATGAAAATGAAGATGAAGAGTTTTGGCAATTGTTTAAAAAAAACATGCTTTTCAATCCCGGCGACGGGTTTTGGGGTTCTTCCTCGTTATTCTGGCGCAAATTGCGTGCAGTTGGTTAACTAACCGTAAAGGTCTTCATGTATTATTCACCTCCTCATGATGATGTTTTCCTCTTCATACAGGGTGAGGGCTCCAACTTCCTCCAGCTGGGCTCCTCCATCGAGCAGCAGATCAACGGCATGTTCAAGGTGATGGAGGAGTACAACTGGGACAGCTTCGTGGTCATAACCAGCCTGTACCCGGGCTACGAAACCTACGTGGATTACGTTAAGTCCTTCAGCGACACCAGCTACTTCATATGGGACCTGCAGGACGTGCTGACCTTCGACATGTCCGCCGACGGCATGAACGACGTCCGGGCGCGGAGGCTGCTGCAGCAGATCGACGCCCAGGTGCTGCTGGTCTACTGCTCCCACGAAGAGGCCCAGTACCTGTTCAGCATGGCGGCCGAGTCCAGGCTGGTGGGGCCGGGCTACATCTGGATTATCCCCAGCCTGGCGGTGGGGAACCCGGACATTACCCCACCTGAGAGCTTCCCCGTGGGGCTCATCAGCATCATCACGGACCGGTGGAGGATGAGCCTGAGGAAGAGGGTGCGGGACGGCGTGGCCATTGTGGTGAAAGGTGTGCAGAGCTTTCAGAAACAGAGGGGCTTTGTTCCCGAGGGCCAGAGCGACTGTCTCAACCCCGTCAAGCCAACTGCTGCAAACAACACTCTGTTCAGGTGCGCTTCAGTTCCGATATCCACCGTTTTATACGTTTATTTCATCATATTTCAGTAGGAAGCTTCCTTGTTTCCTGTTTCTTGGGATCCTGCTTGTTCTCATCTTGTTACGTTAATTTCCACAGCACCAATTCACAAGTGAAAGAAAAACATTTAGAATTTGTGACTAGTATTTTTTCTCCACTTATCCAAATCCCTTCTGATTTCATTCATTTTTTAATAAGCCTACATTTTCCTTTTTAGACATCTAAGTTCGGCTATCGGGCAAGTGGCTGAAAAAAATCTTAATATCAAGCCTCGCAGTATATCATCCAATGAAAGTAGTGATTGTGACCGGCTAATTCCTGGACAGATGTTTCACATTTAAAGCCATCAGGCAGCTCAAAGGGCACCATCACTTTCTTTCCGAGTAAGCTCTACAGATAACAAAAAGCAGGAAGTGTTTTACCGACAGTAACTTTAAAGAAACGACAAAGAAGAGGCGGCTGGAAACATATTCACTGCACAGAAATATTTTGGTATAAAAAGCAAATTTAAAGAGAGAAACTTGCAGCAGCAGATTGGCGAATTTGACTTCTGTAGTAATTTACATTTTGTTGAATTTACAGCTATTACAAGAGACGTAATTCCACCACTTCAATTAACTTTCCCCCAGCATGCTCAGCCTTTATTTACACCATTACTTAAACACCACTGTGGACTCACAGTACATTGTTTCTGTGGAGTTCTTCAGAGTGTTTACATTGTGTAGACGCTCGTCTTTATAAAGGATTTTCCATGTTTGATAGCAGTAAGACATTCATTTCTTTGTATTTACACACGCATCGGCACACACAATGCATGATGCATGATAAAGTGAGAAGAGAGCTCGTGGCCAGTGATGGTTCTCTTGGCAAAGAATGCACTCGCATTTAGAAAAATGCCCACTGGGGCCACTTGAAGACAGTGCTCATAAATGACATTAGTGAGTTAGAGAGTGGAGGCTCCCACCACGGAGACAACTTTGCAGTGACTTGTGGGTAATGGTGCTAATGGAGAGCGTGAGATATGAACCCCCGTGGCTTTGCACTCATCTCATGTGTACTTTACAGTGTCTCGTTTGTTGTGCTTAAAGATAAACTGGACACTAAGGATAATACTTTCATTTTAAATTGAACCCCCAAGTATAATGAAAAAGCACTCAATGTGACCAACTGTTCCTGCAGCTGTGCAAGATGAGACCAAGCCAACGAAAAGACTCTTCTATGGATGCTCCACTACGGCAGAAATCTGGAGCACGATTATTTAACTCCATTACTCAGTGACTTTAGAAATATCATGCGTTCAGTCAACTTGAATAAAACTGTAGATTTGTTCTTGAACTTCTAATAAAGTCTCTCTCTTCATCATCTCGGCTTGAGCTGAATAAACATGTTGTACATCGTAAAGTGAAATGCATCAGTCTGGTGCACTGCGAGAGCAAAGTTTAAGAGGCTAGATCTATGAAGTGTTCTTGTAAACAATTGTGTGCTCTAGCAAACAGTTTAGTCATGAACACATGATTGATGAATGAGATGTGAATGCTGATGAGACGGGAAACAAAGCCATCTCCCACCTGAGCTCGCTCAGGCCCTTAAACGAGCTCAGGTGGGTCGACGGCATCGCCATCGACCCAATGTTGACTGTCAGTGTGCAACCTGCAGCTCCTCCGTGTCTGATGCTTTGTATGCCCGACAACCTCCTTTGTGCCAACGTGCCACGACTTCTGCTTCTCAGGAGACAGACATCAGCTGAACGTCCACAAGAGGTCACCTCTCAGGAAAACATGTGTTTGAACAAACAACTAATCCTGCTGTCCGAGTCTTTTTTAGTGTTTCGATTTATATCAGCAGCATATTATTTGCATAACTTTTGTTTGGGAAAGGCATCATTCTGTCTGATGTTCAGGGATCATATGGGTTTAAGTATTCTCTTCAATTCCTGATATATCATAAAGACACATCAGAAACGGATCTGGATCTGTGGAACCGGCAAAAAGAGGTCAAGAGTTTAATTATGCATGACTTCCCATCTGTTTGGTGATGTGAAAACGTTTTATAGCGACTGTCACACTTTTCCCAAACTGTGTCCTCTGCCGTCTTTGTCCTCCTGTCCACAGCGATGTATCTCTCGGAGACTGCGAGGTGATTTAGCGGTGACGGGGTCGGGTGGTTGGCGGAGACGACAAATGAGGGCGGGGCTTCTCCCGACTCAAACCCTGCCCAGAAAGAGCAATCTGACGCCATCTGTGCCACGGAGCAAATCCTAAATGTTTTAATCAGCAAAGGAAGAGCCAGGAAAAAAAAAACCTGCTCGGGCCTCAGCGTTCATATGGACCAAGGTCATTCAAGGAGATTGGGAGTGTGTGGAGTGTAGATGTGTGTCGTCGGACACTTCTTTTGCATTATGAAACGTCACTCTCCCTCTCGTGTCTGAAGTACATCTTTTCCTTTTGGAGTCCGTTCAGAGCTGTAGGGGAGACAACTGCTCCTTTAGTAAACCCACAGCGAGCATGGAGAAAACATTATCTCGGGCTTTGATACTGTACAACCCTCCTTTTCCTTTTGGACTTCTCCAAACCCAGCAGCCATGATGTGAGCAGCAGCAACGTGAAGGTCGGCGAGACAGAACAAAGCACTTTCCGTTAACTTCATAGTCAGTCACTTCAGTCATTTCTTCTCTTTGCAGCCACATCAAACGCTAACATCCCCCGCGGTTCTCAGATTTGTCCTCAATTGATCGGAGACTCTTTCTTTTTTGTCAAACGAGCTTCTGGTAATGAGTCAGCTCACCTGTTAATGGGATTACTGCACATTACCAGATTAAATAGGCTTTTCACACAGACAGAGCCGAAGGCTATTCTCCTCCCAGCGGGCTTTCATCACCTCTGCTGGAGCGTCGGCTGAAGTGAGAGAGAGGAGGTCTGATGGGATGCGAGTGATGACACGGTGGAATCGCAGGAGATAGCTCTTCTCTTCACACCGCAGAAGCTGTCAGAAAGAAACCTCGTGTTCCTGTTGTGACAACGCAGCTTTCTGCTCGATGACGACGCATTTGTGACATCAGCCAAATAGTGCAATTTGTTGCATTCTGGCAATAATTTGTATCCGTACTTAAGTCATTGAAAGTATAAAATCTTATACCGTTTGAATTTAAATAGCATTCATGAAAGCATGCTGTAATGATGGAGTCGTATTTCTCTACTTGAAACGTGTCCTTAACTGTCTGAACTATCCAACTATCTTTTAGAATAAACATAACACAGAAACATCTGTACTTATCTTTATCAACTTTAAAAGCAGCCAGAATCTACGTCAGTAAGAGACGGACAGGAGGAAGGACGTAGCATTCTGCCCACTGGCGACTTTGGTAAACTACTTTCATTAAAAGGGACATTTCAAACAATTCTTTATCGCACTGTACGAACACTGAATACTCTGTTTTCACAGTACAACTAACACACTGCCATGTGCATAATATCTGAGTAACGTTTATTTTGGATCTGCATTCATCACAATCCCTCTGACATCCAACACCTTTAGTGCAATCTGAGCAACTGTCTGCCACGAATCTTTGCATGTGAATTATTAATTAAGAGGAAAGTGTATCGATATGTTCTTACACTCCTGTTATGTGACAGTAAGATCAACATCACTGGGTTTTGCACTGTTGGTCACACAAAACAACCTGTTGATGGGCGTTTTTCAGTGATTTTGGACGGTATTTCTCACTGATCATCTTTCTCTCTGGGCTTTGTTTGTCTGCAGGCACATGTTGAATGTAACCTGGGAGCACAACGACTTCTCCTTCAACAGCAACGGCTACCTGGTGAATCCAGCCATGATCATTATCACTCTGGACCGAGAGAGACAGTGGGACAAGGTGAGCTCTTTCATCTTGTTGTCTATACTAGCCGCTGTTGTGCAGTTCAATTCTGAACTTCATCATTCTACTCCTGCCGACATGCGGAGGAAGCGATCTGTTATTGGAGCGATTGGCGTGATCAGCCCTACGGAGCGGGCATGTGAAGTCACGGCAATGTACACAAAACACAAAACAAGAACTCTCCTTTTACTCATCAATGCTTATTTTGTTCTGCACAACTATTGTGAAGTTCACAAAGAAACCCAGTGTACGTGAATAGTCAGAAACGTGTTAGTGAGGATGTCGCCTAAATGTATTTAGTGAATGCATTAACACCATGATGCAACTTGTAGAATGAGAAAAACAGAAGCGCTATTCTGCTGTCACAGTGCATCTTCCTCTGCATAGTGATTTCATACACCGCTGGGTTCTCTGTAAAGAGTCCACCGATACCAGCCAACTACTTCATGAAGTATAGTGTTCTGATCACACCCACAGTGCTACCTTTCACACACACACACACACACACACACACACCTCTGTCACTTACTCCTACTCACCCCCATCCCTTCAAAAAGATATTAAAAGAAAGCCCACACACACACATTGATCTGGTAACGTTGCTGCAGCAGCGTGCGGCCTCATTGACTCGTCTGGAGATTGAAACTTGAATTTAACCACAGGATGTGTGGCGTGGACGTCAGACTGGAGGGAGCTGACTTCCTCCACTGGCTGAAGAGACGTGTTTATTTAAACATCACGCTTCAAAGTAAACAGCCGCAGGCGCTTCAAAAGCTAATTACGTTATATTTATGTTTACGGGTGCGCCTTCCTGTTAATTTCCAATATGCCGTCAAGGCTGTGAGCTAATGAGAAGCGATTTGGTTTTGGAAGCAGACACGAGACAATTTGAATTAATACAGCAGCTGCTCCAATTGCAGTCAACGTTATGTGGGTCGTTCACAATATTGTAAGATATCATTTTATGCTGAATCGGACAGATTTTGAAGAAGTTATGAACGATTGTTGAACACACTGAACACAGAGCCGCTATGGTTTCCATTAACATGTAGTTTAAAAGTGAATGTCCAGCTAATTAAAGAGTGGCGTCGGTGTGTCGGCTCTGCCTTTCAGGTCAACATTCTCTCTGTTCAGTAAACCCAGCTGTCATCGCCAAACTCTGCTGTTCCAACAAAGCCGCTCAGCTTCTGTTGTTTTTGGCCGACTTTGTCATACGACCGCTACCGGTGTTCTGCACCGAAGAGTAACGATAGCGAGGGTCCCGTTGAGAACGTTACAGCTGTGAACGTAGTTTGTTTGTTTGTGAATTAAGTGCAATTCCTCAAGACCCAAGTTAAGTTCCTGTTACTGAATTAAGTGGCTCATTTAAGGTGGGCTGACCTTTAAGGTGGACCAGCTATTCTTCTTAAAACGACAACCTACTCCTCTGAGTTTTGCTCAGCATTTTTTAAATAATCTTGTTATTTTTCATTTCCATGACAAATTGTCAAATCACTTGAAGAAATCATTGTTTAGTCCATAAAAATATCATGAAATAGTATCACAAGTTGAGACAAACCTGGGAATGTCTTGTTGTTTTGTATATTTTGTTCAACTAATGGTCCAAAAGCCAAAGATATTCAGTTTACAATGAAATAGAGAGAAAGGCTTCACACTCCACATTTAAAAGCTTGAACCAGAAACTGCTGAAAACTAATCATTTAACTAATTTCAAATTTGAAATCTGGGGGCCTTGGGGGCGCTGTTGGACTCTCATAGAGGCGCTGAAAAGAATATATATAACGTTTATTTTATCTACCAACAATTGTGCACCGCACATCACTGTGTGGCATCGACAATGGAGACCATCTTGAATCAATCAATCAGCTACAGCAACAGTTTGCAGAGTTCAGGTAACAAACATTGATCACCTTCAAACGAAAAGCCTTCTTTCTTTCTCCGCTCTTTTGTTTCCCCGATGAGCTGCTTTTCCTTTATAAACGCAGACAAAAGCAGTCGTGTCTTCCACTTTTCTTAAAGGCCTCCCCGTCCTGGCTGTTGGATGACGCACACGTTGAAGGGCTTTTGTCCTCAACCGCAACACTCCCCGTAGATCAGGGAGGCTTCTAACCATCTTAACATCCGGGTCATCTGTGCTATCGAAGACAAAACAAGTACAACAACATGGATTGTCTTCGTCAGTGTCTTGAGAAAAGGTTTAGTGATACAGACAAAGGCTTTGGTTGAGGGTGGCGTTAGGGATGCCCCCCGACACCTGGTTCTAAATGAGTAAAACCCAGAGTCATGATAAGGTCCTGAGTTATCGGTTCTGCTATCGGTACTTTCTTAGTTACATAGTGAGACGTCCTCTCTCTGTCTCTTTGTCTCTTTGTCTCTCTGTCTCTTTGTCTCTCTGTCTCTCTGTCTCTTTGTCTCTTTGTCTCTCTGTCTCTCTGTCTCTTTGTCTCTCTGTCTCTTTGTCTCTTTGTCTCTCTGTCTCTTTGTCTCTTTGTCTCTCTGTCTCTYTGTCTCTTTGTCTCTTTGTCTCTCTGTCTCTTTGTCTCCGGCTCAGTACAGCGTGAGACTCACATCATGRTCAGAGAGAAGGACACATTGTAGAACTCTGGTCGTCTCAAACACAATAAAACCCTCACAAGTGAGTTCATCACAACATGTGACCAACAAGCAGAACATCAGTCTGTCGGTGGAGCAGCCGTCACGTAATGGTAGTGATGTCATACGTTAGTGATGTCATACGGGTGTGATCACAAGTACAGGATCATCAATGAAAGATAATCACTGGGATCATAGATTAGCTGAGAACGTAGTTTAAAGATTTGGGAACTTCTTGTCTTGCTGCTCAAGAAAGACTGTTTGTTTACATACAAATGAATCATGTTTTTTATTGATAAGAGCATCGATGAGGAACCAAACCGATAAGCAGTATTGATAAGAGTACGAGTATCGATAAATCCTAACGATACCCGTAGTCAGTGTAAGCTCTTGTCCAATCAGAAACCCTTTCACAGACTTCCTGTCATGACTCAGGACTCGAGTCCAGAGCTGAAGGTAAATGTGTCCTCTCATTCACCTAGCTGACCTTTAAATAAACCTTTTCATGGGAGGAGAACTCATTTCTCTCACTCCTTTTAGAGCACAGCGTTCATGCTCATTTCAAAAAAAATAAATAAAAAAGTCGTGTTCGGCGATAGCTTTTCTGTGCTTAACTTTCTGGAGCCTCTGGGCTCTTTTTTTACTCTCAGAGATGAAAATCAATTCCATCTTCTGATTGCCTTTTTCTTTTTTTGCCAGCCTCGTCATTGTACACTATTCTCTGTTACGTTCGTGCATCACCCATGTATATACCTCGCATTATATTTTTTTAAACTTAACACCATTTCAATGCTCTTTATCTAATGCAGTCCTGAGTAACTTGCTACTTCTGGAGAGTCATTATTGAGCGGCTTCTCCGACTTCTTCCCCCGAATCTAAAACGTCAAGGTAACTCTGGGAGATGGAGGGGAGAGCGTGACAAAAGAGAGTAAGGGAGAAGAAGCTGGGGGGGGGGGGGGGGGGGGGGGGGGGGGGGGGGGGGGGTGGGGGG